GCTTTAACTGTCATTATTTCACTCTGGTGCAATTTTTTAATGCTACTGAACATACTAAAAAAAACATTAAACAACAAATAAAACAGAAAACGAAACTCAATATCAGTTAAAACTTTTATTAAAACATTCAGGCTTACAAAAATACAGTGCAAAAATTTCAAGTCTGCATAAAATGGCAATATGGTACAATATGAAGTACAGAATCGGTTGTACCATATTTTCTTTGAAGATCAAATGGTTTGAAATAACATAGCTCATTTACATTGACAACTGTTAAAACTTTGTCTGGATGCAGTCTGACTGTAAAAGCATAGTAATGCTCATCAAAACATACAGTTTCCATTAGTGTGCCACATAACAGTACATTTTCATTTTTGACAGCTATAGTCATGATCTTACAAAACACTGGCATCTCATGTGCTACTTCTGTGCAGATAATAAAGTCAGGACGATACTCTGTGCCATGATGTTTGATCCACTTTACAGCATAGACTATTTCAGATATTACCACACCTAATTTTGAAGCAATCTCTGGGCCACCTCTAATTTCCCTGAGTTCCACCATCTTTCCTGGGCCAAGAGTCAGTCTGTACTGGCTAAAAGACTCCCAATACATTGCCATACAACTCTGGTGCTTTTTGGCTAGTGTTTTGGTGATGTTTTTGAAACTTTTTAATTGTGTTTTAAAGAATTTGTGCTTAGCTTCATAACGCATACACCATGTGTGCAAAATTGGACCAATTTTCCTTATACATTGTGGGTAATGTATCATGATGTGATGTTTTGGCAGAAGATTTTTTTGGGGAAATAACATTTTAAATAGCCGATGATGTTCAATTATCAAATGTTTAAGATAAGTGGTCATGCCATCTGTTAAGACAGGTGAAAAGACAATGTTAACAATCTGCAGAAGTAAAAGCAAAAGATGCCAGTGTTTATCATCTTTATGTATTAAATCTCCAAATATTAAAGGCAAATTGCGCAATAAGCACCAAGATTGAATAGCATTTAAACCTAAATCATTGCTTCCATCAAGCAATTTGACTTTTGGAGGACGGTTTCTCTGCTGATTGTAACCATAGTCAAAAGCATGTACTCTACCATCAAGATCATTGGCACTCAGAAAATTATGCTGAATGTACTGCAGAACAAGTTTTACCTCTAGCTGGGCAACTCCTTCTAGAATGTCGTGCATTATATCAACAGCAAAATTGGTGGCTGTGTTGAAATATTTGAGGGAATTTAATAAGCATGCCCTTTTGACACCATACACGTGAGGTAGTGTAGAATCAGACTGTAAAGTTTCACAATGCAGAGCATGCATCTCAGCAGTTCTTAGTTCAACCTCAGGACTATCTTCAGAGAACACTGACTGAAACTGATGCTTCTCAAGAAGACAAAAACGACAACAATATCGAGCCCCAAATGATTCCAGAAAGCCAAACAAGCTGTGCAGACCTAGGTTATCCCCTGTGACTTGAACGATAGTACCCTTAATGCATCTTCCAGACACTGGATTCTTAACTCCCTCAATTTCAAGCACTTTCAGATCATTGACCAGGGGCTCAATTATGGAGTTAAAACCATAGCGCTTAACATCCTGTGCATGAAAGAGGGCACATAAATGAATGTTAACCAGTGAGGAGTTAAAAACTGGTGGAAAATTTCTTAATGAAAAATATATTGCACCCAATTTATGTATACCTTTCTTTGAGCCCAGTGGATTAGCGGTCTCAAAATCATCATAAAATAACTGAATTTGTAAGGCATCTTTTTCTGTAGAAAATAAAGGACTGCTTTTAAAATGTGCTGCATCACTTAAGTCCACATAAATTCCTTCCTTTGAAATGTGCCTGGGTTTAAACAAATCGGTAAGTTGTGGATTTTTTGAAAATAGTCTTTAGTGTTTCTAAAATGGGAATATAAGAAAATTTATCAGTCACAACAACTTGATCAAATGTTCCTGTAGTTTTATTTCTTCTGCTGTCAAATCTTGTGCCGAGTACTATTTCACTAGGTTCAACAATCCCCCATTTCGCTGTAAACAGTCGCTGTCGCTTGACTTCCGAATTTAACAAAGTAAATGGATTTTCTAAATTTGTAAAAGATTCCTCTATTTTCCTTTTACTAACAGTGTCCTCAGAAGATATACAGAGCAAAGCTGCATCCTGGGCTTGACTATGAATCTCAAAAACCACTTCTTCCATAGATGAAACAAAACCATTTATTGCAGACTGACTTAAACCAGCAACTTTAAGTTGTGCAACAGCAGATGCACACATATCTAAAGTGTTCTTATTAGACTTTAACATTACAGATGTTGTGGCCACATCTTCAGCACTGTCACTCTGGTGGAACATTGCAGCACTATTTTCTTCCTCTGTCTCACAGATGCCACTAGGGTCACAACTCTGTTCACATTGTTCAGGATGTTTTATATTCAAATGTTTTCTAAAACCTGAGAAGGTACCAAACTCAGAACCGCATCCTGCCTCTACACATTTAAGTCGAAGGCTCTTTCCAGGAACCAAACCATGAACAAATCTGAAGTGCCTAACAAGCAATTTTGAACCATTTAATTCCGTCTCACAAACAAAACACTTCATGAGTGCACTGGAACTTTAGGCACCTAGTTAAGCAGCCTTGCCCTAACCTCAGCAACACGAGGACTTTCTTTCACTTTCCCAACATCTATGTTGTACACAGTGGTTTGAATGAAAGTGTACATGTTGTGCAGCATGGTGTTGTAAGAGGTGCCAAAAACATAATGTGCCTTAAACAGTTCATCAAAGGCACCAAGAGAAGAGGTGGACTTGCATGGAATGGCATGCTGATCAAGGATGATGAAGAACTGGTGAATTGAATCCTTCTGAGGACCTACAGCCAGGAGATAGGGCTGAGCGCTCGCAGAGATGTCTTGCAGATGCTCCTCGATGTTTGTTCCACTCTAAAAAAAAAAAAAGCAAGCAAGTAAAAAAGAAACATCACTAACAAGTTAAATAATAACAAACTATGACAGAACAATCATTAAATAAAACCAGCAAACAAACCTTCTTGAAGACAACAAGATGATTTTCTGCTTGAGAAGCAGAAACTTTCCCTGGTCTCTTCCGGCCTTGAGCAGATGGTGGAATCAGATGCAACAGTAGTAGTACTGAAGCAAGGTCGCTGTCCCAAACTGTTTAAACAGGTAACAAACAATTGGTTAATATAATAAATGTTAACTCGCAGCAAAACAATGTGGAAAACTAGAAGTTAACTACATAAAAAAGCCAAAAATATATACAAAGTGACTAAAGCTACATTAACAATCTTAGTTTGAATCCAATTATTTGTAAATCTGATAAAACTTTGATCCAAACTACCAAAATATAAAAAAATTGATGAATATGATTTGCAATAATACACACACATATATATGAATGAATTCCAATTGAATATGAACAATTAAAAATTAAACTGACAGTGTGTAACTATGGCTAACTTCATTCATGCTTGGGTTCCTTTAAATATTATAATAACCATGGTATGAAACATTACCTAAACATTAATCAAAATTCTTACCAATATGAACATCTTCTTCAGTGTCATCACGAAGAGATTCTGCTGCTAGCAAAAGTTCCTGTAAATCGCTGGTTGCAGGAAGTCTTTTGCACTGCTGAATGACTTTTTTCTTGAATGCTGTTGTCCACTTCTCTAGCAGCTTGCCTGACACTCCTTCTCCAAACATCAGAACAAAGTCTTGCTCAATCTAATAAGCATAACATTTTAATTATTGTTATGCTTAGGGCAAATCTTTAAACTCATGTCACCACTGACTATTTGATTTTTATACAACAAACCATTTATCAAATATGATTATAAACACTTACCAAGCCTTTAATGTCCTTGAAACGAGGAAAAATTGTCAATAGATCACTGGACTGCATGGGATCAAGAACCATCTTACGACGATAGTCAAATGTCAGTTTCATTTTCTTCTTGATGGCATCCTCATCAGCAGAATGGTTCATGAATGCAATTGCTTCCTTGCATTCATCCTCACTAAGGACAATCTCTGGAGTAAACTTTGAATGCCTTGCTACAGTTGGTCCACCGGATCCCCGCTCAGCATACGACACTTGACCTAACAAACAACAAAACTAATTTTAACTGTTTGTTTATACAAAATAAAAAAAATAATCATCCAAGCACAAAGAAAATTAGATTGCTACATTTCTGAAGTTCATTTTGTACCTTCAAATGATCCTCGTCGTTCTTTAGCCAGGTTTCTCTGAATAGTTTTGATTCTCCATGCCAAATATCCGGTGCCACTCTCACCATCATAGTAATGCTCCTAAAGAGATAAAAATGGGTAAAAAGGGGGACACAGGAGCAAAATATATCATCTGTAGTATAGGTGTGTAAAAAAAAAAAAAAATGTGGCAACACAAATGTAAAATTTTAAAAAGGTGCAAGACTTACAAAGCCATTTTTGGAATAGGGGTCACTGAGGTAAGGGAACAAAGCCACGATTCCTCTGGCATATTTTTCTTTGACCAGCCTTGGTGGGGACCCTCTGCAAAATAATGATTAATTATAAAAAAATAATAAAATAAATAAATCCACAACTATATCAAGTAGCTATGTGTACACACAAATCAGTACTTTGCAGATTACCCATTTTTTTCGGTCATATCAGCTGCCAGGATATTAACCATTTTTCTCCTCGTTTCATCCTTCAAAGCCTTTGTTCTGTTATACTCATTTATTATACTCTCGCCTCCAGGTTTCTTGACGAGAACAGATTGCACCAGCTTTAAAATAAGAGGGGAAAAGGCAGGTTATAAACAAATTAAACAAACACACCTAACAAAAAGCAAAAAATGAATTTTTAAATTAAATGTAAATTATATATTTTTTCAATTAAAATCATTTTTATGTAGAAAAAAAAAGTCCACCTTTTTTGCTTCATCATCCAGCTTCATTCGCTTACTGTCAGGGCCTTCTTTAATAATGACTGTATCCTGAGAGTCAAGGGAGTCAATGGATGAAGACAGAGACTGATCTAAATGCATAGAAGATGATTGTGGAGAGGCCGGTTCCAAATCTGTTTGCATAAACAATATAAGGAGGGGGGGTGAGGAAGTCTCTATGACAAAAAATGTGAAACATTACAGTCAAATAATGTGATAAAATACAAACCTGCACCATGTTTTATGGTGAGAACGCCAACGGAGGGATCTTTGATTAACTCCTCAAAAACATCACTATCCACCTCAGTCCCAGATTCATCCACAACCTTCACGTTCTCAGGTACATTTGGAACCCCAAACTTCAAAAAGGCTAAACAATACATAAATAATATATTGCATAATAATAATAAAATGTGAAAGCTGATCAGTTATATACTGGTAACTCTGAATATCATCTGGAAACATAACACAGCAGCATATACATCAGTATTTAAATTGACCACATACCAAATAAGAAATCTGAATAACAAAAGTGTAATTGTTTCTTACCTGCAGACAAAAAGTCCTCCAGGTTCAGATGGGCTATTTTAACAAACTTTTGTGCATCCCCAAATTTCACCTTTACCAGCATGCTCTGTAAGAAAAATGAGAATGTTTCATACAGGTGCCAATGGGGGGGGGGGGACTTTAATCATACATAAATTTATAAATGACACAAAAATGGCACATAGGTTTATACATTTTTGCATGATTTTATAACCATTAACATATATTTATTATTTAAGAATTGGTCATCCCAGTTAGTAAAGTAATTACACAAGTACTTAAAGGTTTTACTCACAATGTGATCTGTAGAGCCTTATATGCACAGAAACTTGGGGGAAAGAAAACACCAATATGTCAACAATCATTTTCCTGTTATGTCAAAGTATAACACACATTCACCATAGAAAAAAATTATTCTAATCCACTTAGTTTTGAAATAATGTCTGTGCTGAAGGGTTGTCATGATACTGAATTTTGGTACCAATTGGTACTGGAATTAAAAGCATCCATTTCCGCTAATATTTAAGTGTTTTTGAGTAGCCAAAATATTATTAAAATGTAATAAGTTGTTTCCAAACTCATCTACAACTAGCACAGACGTTGCCACATTACACAAACAAGTCATAACTTGGAATGCTATAAGAGTAAATCATCATTTATTGTTTACCTGGTCTTTTGTCTATGATTATCAGCTTCAGGTCTTCAAACGTCAGTGGTTCGTTTACGTCACACAGACCCACATTAATTAAGCTGCCAAAAGGAGCGATGATTTTTAGTTTACCTCTCGAGTCTTCTGGTTTTTGAGTCGTTCGTTTATCATGTGGCAGCACGTGAAGAGAGATGAATCAAATCCGAAGACTCGATAAATGAACGAATCAAAACTTTTTCCGGCTCTAAATGCATGACTGGCTTCTGTCTTTCACGCGATGAACGAACGACTCAAAGCACATAACTTAGAAGACTCGAAAAGGAACGAATCTTCTGCTCCACCAGCACAATTGTGCAATTAAACGAATCACTCCGAAAGGACTCAACGTTTTCGAGTCATACAAAAGATTCATTCAAAATGAACGAATCGTTTATGAACGACCCATCACTACATGTCACCACTGTTTACCGGGCACAAGCACAGATGCACACCACTTGATCGTTTTAAAAGCCGCGAAGATGAGCTGGCGTGTCTATGGGCTGACATTTAAGAGATCCGCTGATGATTCACAGTTTTAAAATGATCCGCTGTCTCTGTATCGGTGTTTGCACTCGGTGAACAGCGGTTAACGTTAAGTGCGGTGAACTGATGACCTTCACGGCCAAACGGCGGGGTTTAGGACCGCGCTCAACAGCGAATTTCAGTAACGTTAATTGCTACCGAAAAACAGTATCATGACAACACTAACAAGCTGTTAAAATGCAACCTCTTAACAGAGAAACGTTAATTAGGAAGTAATTTGAAATTGACTGAAAATATTTAACCAGCAGTGAGCTGGACAGCCATACAGAGACAGTTAATTTTACACTACATATGTTTATATCATATAACTTTCTCTGTAAGTTACCATCTTAATATGTTGAAACAACAAAATACTGACCTAACAGTTAACTGTTACCTGGAACATTGCAGAGTTGCTCTTGAAAGCAAAACTTCGAGGCTAAATGTAGCCTAACGTTAACGTCTTCTTCAGAGAGCTCACAGTACAAAACTAAATGAATACAAAAGTAAGATTAGAAATCGCAAAAACAATTTAAGTAAGATCATTGGCATCGTTTAAGCTTCATCTTTAACGTTAAGGTGACCACACTGTGATAAAATCGATCGAATTACACGGTCACAAAGTGACTCATAATCAATGTTTTAAGAAACAAAACTCATCAAAGTACAACATATACCGTTGTATTAGCACATTTACTCATATAAATCGATAAAATGATGTTTTAAGACGTTAAACAAGAGAGCTTACCTACACGCACGAGGGAGCAGAAAATGGCGCCGACAAAACTCCAACACGTTCTCTGCAGGGGGTAGATTGAGGGGCGGAGCTTAACAGAGCAAAGTTAACGACGTAGAATACAACTCTGATCATTTTCACCAACACAAGGGGGTGTCTTTCACCGTTTTTTGTAAAATTAACTCATTTTGAGTAAATGCAGATTAACACAGCTTAATTAACACAGCGGATTTTACTGTGTATCTGCCAGATCATTCATTGAAGCTTTACTTTTCAAGAATTACAATAAAAAAATGTATAAGTTGGTGTGAAGTGGATTTTATACTCTTCAAAGTTTGAAGTTGTATGTGTATATTCTGCTTGTAGACTTGCATACCATTAGAAGAATTACCATATCACAAGAAATGGATAAGTCATATAGTTACCAGGTATGGGTCAGAGGTTAACCTAGGTGGAAATTGGGTTCAGTGGTTAAACTAGGAGGGGTCTTGTGTGGCATATGTAGGAACAAAGGAAAAAAACAGTTGTAAAAGAGTATTTAAGCAGGCCAGAACATCAGTGAGACAGAATTTTTCAGACAGAGATGCTACTGGGGTCTCCCGAAAATTCTCCTTTTTTTCGACAATAAAGAACTCTTCTGAAATCAAAACCATCAGACTTTGCTGATTATTGAAGAAAGGAAAAAACCACCACAGGTGTTGTAACAATATGTTGATACTTGAGAAAGTAAAATTTTGGTTTCTATAACATTTATTTAATGTTTTAGGATGAATATTTTTCTTGTTCAATTTAAGCTTACAAAGCTGGGCTATTTTTTTTCCAGTGCAGATGTTAGTTTTATCTAATTAATATGTTAATATTTATGACATTTTATGCCTTACATGAATTATTGAATCGTATTTATTGAATTATATGCCCTATGAATTAAATAAAGTGTTTGCCCTTCAAGGCTTAATATTAAATTTAAAGACTTTAAAAGAAACAGAAGATGACCAGATGAGTTTAATAAACACTGAATAGTGTTTCACTGACTATATGTAAACAAATAAATATATTTCACATTTAACATAGACATTTTTTAATATTGATCTCTTTTTCAACAATATAAAATGTAACATTTCATTTCAATGTTGGTGACGCGTTGCCACAGTGGGTAGCACAATCGCCTTACAGCAAGAAAAAGGCTGATTCAAGCCTCAGCTGGGTCAGTTGGCATTTCCCATCCTTGTCACTCATTTGTTCTGGCGTTTGAAAGAGCCGGTGCTTCCATGGAAGCTGTTTTACTTGCACCCTCTCATCATTTTGAAGGATGTTGTTGCAAAATTTTATGTCATCTTTACTGAAAATAGCAGCAAATACATACAGAAATGCCATAGTCCAGCCCCCATCAGGAAAGTGAGTACATACATGACGAGGTGGCCGAGACCATCGAATCCCATTCTTGTCGTTCATTGGCTCTGTCATTCATATGGCAAAACTGAAAGTCATCTTACCGAGAATAGTTGCACAAACATCTATAAATAAATGTGTGCCACAAATCGAACTCCACCAGAGAAAAAAGGCAAATGTGTGACGAGGTGGCCGAGTGGTTAAGGTGATGGACTGCTAATTCATTGTGCTCTGCATGCGTGGGTTCGAATCCCATCGTTGTCGCTTGTATACTCTGGTGTTTGAGAGAGCCTGGTGCTACCGTGGAAGGTGTTTTGAAGGATGTTACTGCAAAATTTTATGTCATCTTTACTGAAAATAGCTGCAAACACATACATAAATGCCATAGTCCAGCCCCCATCAGGAAAGTAGATTTATACATGACAAGTTGGTCGAGTGGTTAAAGCGATGGACTGCTAATCCATTGTGCACTGCACGGGTGGGTTTAAATCCCATCCTTGTTGCTAATATGTTCTGGTGTTTGAAATAGGCTGGTCCTTTCGTGACAGGTGTTTTACTCGCAGCCTCTTATCGCTTTGAAGGATGTTGTTGCAAAATTTAAAGTCATCTTTACTGAAAATAGCTGCAAATACATACAGAAATGCCGTAGTCCAGCCCCCATAAGGAAAGTGAGTACATACATGACGAGGTGGCTGAATCTATTGAATACCATTCTTGTCGTTCATATGCTCTGTCGTTCATATGGCAAAACTGAAAGTCATCTTACGGAAAATAGTTGCAGAAACATACATTTACAAATATGTGCCACAGTCCAGCCTCCACCAGACAAGTAAAGAAAATATGTGACGAGGTGGCCGAGTGGTTAAGGCGATGGACTGCTAATCCATTGTGCTCTGCACGCGTGGGTTCGAATCCCATCCTCGTCGCTTGTGTGCTCTGGCATTTGAGAGAGTCTGGTGCTTCCTTGGAAGTTCTTTTACTCGCACCCTCTTAGCGTTTTGAAGGATGTTGTTGCAAAATTTAATGTCACCTTTACTGAAAATAGCTGCAAATACATACAGAAATGCCATAGTCCAGGACTTCCGGTTGGGTGAGCGGTAGGATGGCAGCCTAGAACATACTCTCCCGGTCAATGTGTTCAAAAAGCCCTTATACTTTTACCAATTCAAGTGAGTTTTGCGCTAGACGACTTCAAAATGAATGGGGCAAAACCTAAAAAGAGGAATTCAAAGCCAAAATTAAGCGAGGAGGAAAAGGAGACGAGGAATGATAATGACAAATTAGGCCTACCTGAGAAAGAACATGGAGCCAAAACTTTGCGAGCAGTGAGAGCACTCAGCAGAGATACCTCCGAACTGAAGACGGATTTAAGAAAAGAATTCAGCTTATTCAAGGAAGAGTTCAAAAAGGATATGAAAACAGAAGTGGACAAGCTGAAAAGCGACATAAACCAGAAGCTAGAAGGCATCTGTGAAGATATTCAGTCACATGGCACAAGACTGAATGAAGCAGAGGAGCGAATAACTGAACTCTAGTCGGCAAACCTTGAACTAAAGAACCCCTTACTGCACACCTTGAAAGAGCAAAAAATGATGCAGAATAAGGTCACAGATCTCGAGGGCCGATCACGACGAAATAATATCCGAATATACAGTATTAAAGAAGGAGCAGAAGGGACATCCATAATAATTTCATCACGTCTTTGCTAAAAACTGAGCTCTCACTATACTCTGATTTAGACCTGCAGGTACAGAGAGCACACAGATCTCTCAGTCCTAGACCTCAAAATAATAATAGTTCAAGATCAATTATAGTCAATTTCCTGCAGTACAGCACTAAAGATGAGATCTTGCGAGCTGCCTGGGCAAAAGAACCGCAACATGATGGCAAGCCAATTTTCTTTGACGATTTCCCCATGGAGAATAATGCAAAACTGAAGGAATATAAAGAAGTGAAAAAAGTCCTCAACGAGAAAAAAATACGATTACAGACGGCATACCCAGCGAAGATGCGAATACACTGGGAGACAGGACCACAATTGTACGAAAGTGCAGCTGAAGCTACGAAAGAGAGGATAAACGGTGGATCTGATGATGATGCAGCAGGTATCCGAAGACCCCTGGTGTCGATGGGAAGAAAGACTGACATGCCGTACCCAGTGGCAAAGAGCTGGACGGATCGCTCCTGATCGTGTTCGGAAAAGGTTGAAGAGTTTTCAGAGACAAACACTGAATGAAGATTAACTGTTGAGAAACACCACTGACTGTTAACGTTAAAGAGGTCTGCGGAGGCACTGTTACGATACACAACTTACAAATAACGCTATTTCAAACTACTTTATGAGTGCGAACTGACTTCGGCTGAAATGCTTGAACTCTAACCATTCTACAATTTGTTTGAATATGTGTTCTTCTCGAGAGAGTCATTTTAAACGTAAAAACTATGTCGTTCTGGACTGAATATGTTTCATTTTGTATTTGAACAATCCTCATGATTCCTAGTTGGTTGGAATCCTTGAGGGGCTTTAGAAATCATTTTGTTTAAAATAATATTTACTTAAGTTAATAATCTGAGTTAAAAAGAAAAAAAAAGACCGGGGACAAGTGATTAGATTGGTATGTTAGAAAATAATTTTTCTCATCTAAATGAGGGACACCTGCAAGAGGCAGGAATAAATCCCTCTCCCCAGGACTTCAGCTGGGTTTTGCTGGGTCAAACGTGGCCCACAGCTTTGGAAGCTCTCAAAGCTCTAGTTCTTGGTTCTTTGTTTAGTTTTATTATCATTTTTGTCAGTTATAAAGGTTTCCAACTTAACTTTCCGAAATTACCATGCAGAGATATGTTAAAATTGCATCTTTAAATGTAAATGGGTTAAATAATACAATTAAGAGGAGTTAGGTTATAGCCAAAATGAAACGTGAAAAAAATCAAATCATATTCTTGCAAGAAACACACCTTTCCCCATCTGAACATGATAAACTTAAAAAATTTGGATATACACAAACTTTTTATAGTTCTTTTAGGAAAATAATAAAAGGAGAGTTTCAATATCAATACATAATTCTCTTAATTTTGAATTGCTAAAAGAGATATCAGATAAAGAAGGCAGATATATTTTGCTTCAGGGAAAACTAAATGAACAATTAATCACTTTAGTAAATGTATATGCACCCTCTGGCAGTAAAACGCTGTTCAATACAATTATCAACCTTTTGGCTATGGAAACTAAGGGAATAACAATATGTGGAGGTTATTTCAATATAGTTCTTAACCAACAAAAGGACACTTCCAATAATAAAATAATTAAAACGGCTCAATTAAGAAGTTTTAAGAGTTCATTAAAAGATCTTGAAGTATTAGATGTTTGGAGAGATCTTCACCCCTCAAAACAAGAATACTCCCATTATTCTTCACCCCATGCAGTATACAGTAGGATTGATTATTTTTTTATGTTTAGCAGGGACAGACACAGGGTAAAAGAATGTGAAATGAAAGCAGCCGATGTATCAGATCATGCAACATTATACCTCACTTTAAATTTGAATGACAGAAAAGCTGATAAAATATGGAGGCTAAATACAAGTATACTAGGGAAAACAGAAGTAGTGGCCCAAATTAAATTAGAAATTGAATTATACGTAGAGAATAATGATAATGGGGAAGTAAGTCCTATAATCTTATGGGATGCAGCTAAAGCTGTATTACAAGGCAAGATCATTTCTATTACAGCAACCCTTAAGAAGATAAAAGAACTTCAATTTAGGATTCTTAAAGATAAATTAAAGCAATTAACAACATGCAACTAGTAAAGATACCCAGATTTTGAAACAGATCAAAAATATAAAAAATAAAATAGATGAGATGTATAGAGAGGACATAGAGAAAAAAAATAAAAATTCCTAAGGCAAGCCTTTTATGAATCGGGACCAAAAGCAACAAAAAGGCTAGCATGGAAACTTAAAAAACAACAACAAAAGGTTTCAATACATAAGATAAAGGACCCCAACTCAGGAAAAATATTGTATAGTCTGGATAAAATTAAAGAGGCATTTGAAACCTATTATAAATCTTTATACTCACAACAGACACAGGTAAATAATACATCAATTAAAGCTTTTTTTTTTGGATTCTCTTGATCTTCCCTGTATTGGATGGGAACAAAATAGTCTCCTAACAAAAGAAATGACAGAGGATGAATTAGATAAAGCTATAAATAATCTTAAAAATAATAAAACACCCGGCAATGATGGTCTGAGATCTCACCTCTTCTTATATCATCATTTAATTAGACACTTAAAGAGGCAGAAATTCCCCCTTCTTGGAGGGAAGCAATTATCTCAGTCATACCTAAAGAGGGAAGGATAAAACTGTAGTTGTAGTTCATGTAGATATGTGTCTATTTTAAATGTAGACTATAAATTATTTGCCTCTATTTTAGCCAAGAGACTTGAAACATTTTTACCTGATTTGATAGACATAGATACTTCATGCAATACGACAAAATAAAAAAGATCACATTAAAGCAATTTTAGTTAGCCTAGATGCAGAGAAAGCTTTAGACTGTGTAAATTGGGAATATTTATTTAATGTTTAATATAGATTTGGATTTACAGAAAATACAGTTAGAAGCTTTCAATGTTTATATTCAAACCAAAAGGCTAGGATAAAAATAAATGGTTGTCTTTCAAAAAAAATAAAACTAGGAACTAGGCAGGGTTGTCCCCTCTCTTCCCTGATGTTTGCCATGTACATTGAACCTCTAGCCCAGGCAACTAGAGAAGAAAAATCAATTGGGGGATTAACATTAATAAGGTAGACCATAAAATTGCTCTATACGCGGATGATGTGCTACTATATCTCTCCAATCCAGATGAATCACTTTCTAGTTTCCTTCTTGTTCTTGAAAGGTTTGGACAACTCTCTGGGTACAAATTAAATATACAAAAAACTCAAATTTTATAATTTGGCAACAACCCAAACAATAAACTTCAACATAAATTAAATATTAATTGGAAACTAAGCTCCCTTAAATACTTAGGAGTATGGTTAACAGAAGATGCAGCTGACCGGTATAGTTGTCACCGATTCTGTCCCAGTCATTCCCCTCGCTGGCCAGCAGAGATCACCATCACCGGACTTCTAACAATGACGTCATGCAAAAACACTAATTGCCACACACACCTGCAGCACATCACACTGATGAACCAGCTCACTCATATAAGCAGCTCACACACTCAGTCTTGTGCAAAGATTGGTGGGAGATGGATTTATGAAAAAGTAAACTGGGAAGAATTTATGTCAGTTAGTGAAGAAGGGATAAAACCACTGGATAAAATGGAGATATCTGACAATGATGAAATAAACAGCAGAATAGTAGCAGTAATTATGGAGGCAGCTGAACAATATATTCCAAATAGTAAAAGGGAGAAGGGAGAGGAAGATAGTACCTTGGTGAAATGAGAGATGCAGAGAAGTCATAAAAAGGAAGGCATTTATAAAAATGACAAATTCACATAACTTTCAAAGTTTAATAGAATATAACGCTGTTCAAGCAGAAGTTAGGAGAGTATTAAGGAAAACAAAAAAGAATACTGGAGGGAATTTTGTTACGAAATAGGAAGAAGTACACTAGTTGAGGAAATATGCAATATGATTAAAAAAATTAAAGGAATTAAAAAAGATGTGGAAATTCCTGTGCTCAAATAAGGGAACGTGATGGCGTTGAATGACAGAAAAAAGGCTATGATGCTAAGAGAAGCATTCACCAAAGTAAACTCCTCTAGAAATTTGTGTGAGGATAGAGTAAGGATCAGGGAGGAGGTGTTATCAAGTAATCCTATGATAAAGCAACGGAAAGAAGAAACGGGCAGTGTTTTGGATGTTCCGTTGGAAATGGCAGAACTAAAAAGAGTTTTAAACAGAGTAAAAGAATCTTCCCCTGGTTTAGATAAAGTAAGTTACACTATGATTAAACATTTTAAGTGACAAGGCTTTGAGTATTATGTTAGATTTTTGCAACAAGGTATGGAGAGAAGGAATTTTGTTAAAGAGTTAGAAAGAAGCTTCAATAATTCCAATTAAGAAACCAGGAAAAGATTATAGTAACCCAAACAGCTACAGACCAATAGCACTCACATCTCATTTAGGTAAATTAATGGGGGGAAAAAACTGACAGATTAATGTATCATTTGGAAAAGGGTAAGAAATTATCACCAAATCAGAGAGCCTTTAGGGGGGGAAGAGGGACTATGGATCCAGTGCTAAGTTTGGAGACCGATTATAAGAAAAGCATTAATAAATAAAGAATCAGTGGGAGCAATATTTTTTGATATTGAAAAGGCCTATGATATGGTATGGTGTGATGGAAAATATGGGAGTAGAAGGAAGAATGTTTAATTGGGTTAAAGATTTTTTGCAAGAGATCAATTAAGGTAAAAGTAGGAGAATTTATAACACCGAAACAATTGACAGAGAATGGTGCTCCTCAAGGCAGTGTCATAAGCCCGTTGCTTTTCATTATAATGATTAATGATGTATTTGAGAAAGTAGATGGGGGATAAGTAGGTCTTCGTTTGCGGATGATGGAGCTTTGTGGTTTAGGGGAAGAAATCTAGATTATATTATGAGGAAAATGCAAGAGGCATTAAATAAGGTTGAAGAGTGGTCATTTAAATGGGGTTTCAAGTTTTCAGTGGAAAAAATGCAAGTGGTCTTGTTTACAAAAAAAGTAAAGGAACAAATTTGAAGTTAAAATAATATAATTAACAGCTAGAACAGGTATCAAAAATAAGATTTTTAGGTATGTGGCTTGATTACAGACTTGCATGGAATGAACATTAAAGGATGGAAGATAAATGCAAAAAGGTTCTGAACATAATGAGATGTGTAGCTGGGCAGGTCTGGGGGGCAGACAGATTGGCTTTAAAAAACTATATATATTACACTGATTAGATCAGTGTTGGATTACGGCTGTGTACATTTCAGCAGCAAAGACTCATCTAGAGAAGTTAGAAAGTCATTAAGGATTTGTTGTGGGGCGATCCGATCATCTCCTGTGTCAGCACTTCAAGTTGAAGTAGGAGAAATGCCTCTTAGTTTCAGGAGGAAACAGTTAACGGCAGTTTATTGGGTTTATCTAATGGAGCAGGAGGAGTCTCACCCTACAACTAAGGTATTACAGAAATGCTGGGAGTATGGAAAAAGTGAATGTAACAGTTTTGGGTGGATAGTGGAACATTTAGTAGAGGAAGTGAACATTAAAGAGTTAAGTATATCTCCCAGACTACCTGCTGTACCTCTGTGGGTTCTGCCTCAACCAGTAGTGGATTTAAAAATGTTAGAAAATAGACAAAAAGAGGGAATTGGAGAATTGGAGGAAATATATGTAAGGGAAAATTTAATGGAACAATACGCAGATATGGTACATGTTTATTCAAATGCATCAAAAAATCCAGATAATGACCTGCTAGGAATGGCATATGTAACTCCAAAGTTCAATATAGTAAAAAAAATAAGGATTTCAAACAAATTAGCAGTATATAGAGGGGAAATGTTGGCAATAAGTTTAGCTTGGTTGAAATGGGTGAAAGATGCTTAAATAAATTAGTTTTTTTAGTTTGCGCAGATTGCAGTTCTGCTCTTTTTAAGCATTGAAGCACCTAGGGCCCTATCATACACCCGGCGCAATGTGGTGGAAGGCGCGGCGCAATAGTCTTTTGCTAGTTTCAGCTTAGCGCAACTCTTGTGCCATGCTGTTTAAATAGCAAATGCATTTGCGTTCAAATGTGCACCTATAGATTTTTCATTAGACCAAAACAAACCCGGTCTAAACTCCGGCGCAGAGTTGCGCCTCGCTTACACACTGCTTAATACGCGCAAGATAGCAATAGGCCAATTTCTTTACAAATGAAAAACTTTTAATATTAAGAACATATATATAGGATAAAATAAGAATAGATATAGGAAATAAATATAAAAGATTAAAATATTACAAAACATTTTATTTTCTAGCCTACATAAATATGAAAAATCACTGCATTTATGTCTTCATCTCGGGAGGCTTTTTCAGTTTATTCATAACAATATGCTTTTGTATAATTAGGGACCGAGCACCGAACGGTGCAAGGCCCTATTGAAATTGCTCCGTTTATTATTAGGGACCGAGCACCGAACGGTGCAAGGCCCTATTGGAATTGCTCTGTTTATTAGGGACAGAGCACCGAAACGGTGCGTAGGCTCTATTGGAATTGCTCCGTTTATTAGGGACCGAGCACCGAACAGTGCAAGGCCCTATTGGAATTGCTCCGTTTATTATTATTCTTCTTCTTCCGCGGAATGAATCGCGGTTTTGAGGGGCTAAACATGCCCGAAAACTCACGCAACTTTGCACATGACTCAGAAGTGGCGAAAATTTACGTTTGTTATGGGCTTTGGAAGTGGGCGTGGCAAAATGACTCAACAGCGCCACCTAGAAAAATTAAACGGACGAGCCCCCGATATACAAATCACGCACATGCACGAAAATTGGCACACACCTCAAACATGCCAAAACATACGAAAAAGTCTCTTGGAGCCATATCTCAAACCCAACAGGAAGTCGGATACTTTTAACTTCCTGCGGTGAAAAAGTGGCGTTTTTGCCATTTCCAGGCGTTGTATTTTAACGAACTCCTCCTAGGGATTTTATCCGATCGACACCAAAATTGGGTTTTGGCAATGTTAAATTGCGAAGCTTTTGAGTTTTCGTCGATGGGCGTGTCCATGGCGGCCTCGCAAACTTTGATTTGCCACAAAACAGGAAGTCATTATAACTCAAGCATGCCTTATCCGATCTGCCTTAATTCACACGCTTTATAAAAGTCCTGACCTGAACAAGTTTACATGCCAATATCCAGATACAGTTATAGCGCCACCTGCTGGCAACAGGAAATGACATGATTTGCAGTGTATCAAACTCCTCCCACAAATTTTATCATATCAGCACCAAAATTGGGTAGTGTTATCTGAAAGCTCTAGCGATGATTGATATATTGTGAAGATCTAGAGTTTTTACAGAGGGGCGTGTCCGTGACGGCATGACAAACCTCAACGCTTCGCCATGGAACAGGAAGTCCTTATAACTCAACCACACAATGTCCGATCTGCCTGAAACTTCACATGGTTGATAAAAGTCCTCCCCTGAACACATCCACATAACAATATTGAAGTGTGCGTGGCAAAATGACTCGACAGCGCCACCTAGAAAAATTAAACGGATGAGCCCCTGATCCACGAATCACGCACGTGCACGAAAATTGGCACACCTCAAACACGCCAAAACATACGAAAAAGTCTCTTGGAGCCATATCTCAAACCCAACAGGAAGATGGATATTTTTTACTTCCTGCGGTGAAAAAGTGGCGTTTTTGCCATTTCCAGGCGTTGTATTTTAACGAACTCCTCCTAGGGATTTTATCCGATCGACACCAAAATTGGGTTTTGGCAATGTTAAATTGCGAAGATTTAGAGTTTTCATTGATGGGCGTGTCCGTGGCGGCCTCGCAAACTTTAACGATTCGCCACAAAACAGGCAGTCGTTATATCTCAAGCATGCATTATCCGATCTGCCTCAAAATTCAGACGCTTGATAAGAGTCCTGACCTGAACACGTTTACATGCCGATATCCAGATAGAGTTATAGCGCCACCTGCTGGCCACAGGAAATGACATGATTTACAAAGTAACAAACTCCTCCCACAAACTTTATCGTATCAGCACCAAATTTGGGTTGTGTCATTTGAAAGCTCTATTGGTGATATATTGTGAAGATCTAGAGTTTTCATAGAGGGGTGTGTCCGTGGCGGCATGACAAACCTCAACGCTTTGCCATGGAACAGGAAGTCCTTCTAACTCAACCACACAAGGTCCGATCAGCCTGAAACTTCACATGGTTGATAAAAGTCCTCTCCTGAACACATCCCTATAACAATATTGAGTCTGTCTTAGTGCCACCTGCTGGCAGAAGGTAGTTTGGCTTATAACTCAGACACACAACGTCCGATCTGCCTGAAACTTTACATGGTTGATCAATTTCCTCTACTGAAGGCATCTACATGCCAATCTTGAGTCAGTCATAGCGCCACCTGCTGGCAGAAGGTATTTTGCATTATAACTCAACCACACAAAGTCAGATCTGCCTGAACATTCACATGGTTGATAAAGTTCTCTCCTGAACACATCTACATAATAATATTGAGTCTGTCATAGCGCCACCTGCTGGCAGAAGGTAGTTTGGCTTATAACTTAGCCACACAATGTCTGAACTGCTTGAAACTTCACATGGTTGATTAAAATGTTCTCCTGAACACATCTACTTGCCAATATTGAGTCACAGTCATAGCGCCACCTGCTGGCAACAGAAAATTACTTATAAGTCAGCCAAACAATGTCCGATCTTTCTGAAAATTGACATGGTTTATATGATTCCTCTCCTGA